GAAAGAAAGAAAGAAAGAAAGAAAGAAAGAAAGAAAGAAAGAAAAGCTAACAGGGGGGCCACACCCACCCTAGGCCAAGGCCTGGGGGAAGAGCCAGGTTCTCAAGGCCTCCCGCAACACCATCAGGTTCTCCAGTGAGACTGATCCGTGGGGGAAGTAGGGCCAATGTAGGACCAGTTTCTTCACAGAACATGGTTGGCCCGTGGACTTCAGTGCCACCAGGGCCATAGCTCTCCACCTTGGAGGGCTTTAAGAGGCATTGAGTCCCAGAGTTCGGCTGGTGGTGGCTAGCAGACCCAGCGATGGCTCTGTTCTGCCTCCCGATTCCTGCTTTTTAAACCCACCTGCTGAAAACCCACTGTGGGAGGGAGGGAGGGGCTACTTCAGTTGTGGGATGAGCTGCTGCGCTCGCCGAGGGAGAAGCAGGATGCAGGACCAGAGATGCCCCGGTCTGGTCCCGAATGCCTCGTCCGACGGCCTTGGGGCAGCCCTTTCGATCAGACACGGTGAGCAGCACCAGGGTCTTCTGCCCCGCACAGCATCCTGTGTGCTTCTCTGGCGCAATGGGCCCCTTGCTCCTGGGGGAGGGAGTGGGGCAGACATGGCGGGCAGGACCGTCAGGGCGGGAGAGGAGCGGCAAGGGGCGCATCCCCCGCCCGGCTCCGCATCCGCGCTCCTAAGAGGAACAGACAAATGTGCAGAGCATCACGTGCCGCTGGTCGTGACCGCTTTGCATCCCTCTCCCGGCCCCGCCATCACCCAGATGCAATGGGATACAAGGTTAAATTGTGCCGAACCCTGTAAGTAGCCTGATTGTCTTGTCACAAATGAAATATGCGGCAGCTCCGGGTGGGGTGGGGGGTCTGCTCAGCCAGAACCGGGAGCACGATCATCCTTTTCCTGCCTATCTCCGCCGACAGACAGACCAACCAACCGCTGGTGTATTTCTCTGTCTTCCCTCCTCACGGCTGTTTGTCTTCGCCAGCAAAAGAGGGAGGGGAGGAAACCGGCCATCCTGCCCACCCCCAACCCCATCCCTTCTGGAGGAGATGGAGATGCAAGGAAGTAAAGCAGGCCCTCCTAGTCAAGGGGCTGCCCCCCAGTTCTGCTTGCTGGGCCTTTCCAAAGGGAGCCCAC